ATTATTGAAAACAACAAATGTTTTAACACGGGCGATTGACGTTCCGCCAATAAGGCCAATAATTCAATACGAATTGTCAATATAGTTTTATAAATTCGTGGGCGTGCGTATTGAGAGAGAGTGGACCATTTTTCAATTTAAAACTGCACCGATAAAACTGCCAAAAACGGTATAAAAAGGTTGGAACTTCCATTGAATTGTATAGTTTATGAACAGATCCGTCGATTTGTCTTCGCTATAATGGAACACGCGATTGGATTTACATTTTTTGTTGGATTTCTCATTCGCCTTTAAAACAAAACGACAATATTAATAATAATGGAATTTTTAACGAACTATTTCTGTTTTTTTGTGCAAAAATCGTTAACTATATTCAATTTTAATAATACAAAATAAATACTAAAATAATCAAATAAAAACAAAATTATTAAAATGGTTAATACTCGTAAATAAATAAAGTAAATAAATATATAAATAAATCACCCTTATTCTCAAAAAATATAATTTTTTAATTCAATATTCTATAGACTTGAATGTATTCCATTAAATGAACATGATTATCAACACGAGCTCAATATTAGCCCATAAAAATAATTTAAATTTAAATACTATTAAAAAAATTCATAAACTTATTAAAGAAAAAATAATACACAACTCGTCAAATAATGTTGTTAACTATTGTAGTACGAATAGTATTGAAATATCAATAAAATTTGTCTAAGGAATTCGCTAAAATTCTGAACAATAATACAAAAAATATAAAAATCGCTTTTAATACTAATAATAATTTAATCAAACATATAAACAATAGAATTAAAAACTTCACAAAAAATCCTCTTATTCTGAAAATGTTATTGTATATAAACTTAAATGTAACTATGATAGTTTTATATAGGTAAGATAAACAGAAATTTTAAAGTAAGATATGAAGAACACAATTTTGAAATAAAATTAAGACAGACTGTTCCTAATTCAAATTTCGCTAAACATGTTTTAGAAAATAACCATAATATAAGTTTTGATATTAATACAGGTTTAGAAATATTAAATACCCATAATAGCATTTACATTAATTCAGTTTTAGAAGAATTACACATACACAATGAAATAAACAAAAATAATTTTAATAATATTTCAAATTCTCAAACTGATTTTAAAAATCTTTCCTATTAAAATAAATTATTTCTATAATTTATATAAAACGACCAATTTGTATAATTTTTTTGTTCTATGTATTCCTTCATTTAATATTTTATATTCAGTCGCGTCTTACATTTTGACTGTGATATACCTGATGATGAATTTTTAACAGTTATCATAATACTCCAGGCAACATATTGTTTGACTTATTTATTTTGTTTTTATACATACTTTTATTATTTAGATATTCATTTACAAAATTAAATACAAAATGTGGTTTTTATTACAATCTATTTTTTGTATACTCATTACTCCTTTCGAGTTACAATAAAATATAGGGAATTACTAAGAAGGTAAGGCAATACATCAAAATTAGTTTTAGAGTCAGAACTTAGGGTCGAGTTGTCATATATAGTACTGATACGATTTCTCGTATCCTATACGAAGTCGGACAGGTAGTCGGTTCTTCGTTGGTGGCGACTTCTGCTGGTGGCATCTTTGGCATATATTCTTTACACTTTTAATACTGTAACGACGGATTGTAGACAACAACGTTAAGCATAATTGATTAGACTTTCGAACCAATCTTGTCTACTAGATAATGCTTATTCTTTTCACAGCTAAAGTACAGTGTAAACGTTGAAGTATTTCAGGAGTGGATTCGCCGCCAATAAATGTACAATCCCGGCAAACCGACGTTTTGTCAAGTCTTCGGTTACCATCAGTGTTTGGCTTATTTGATGATCGTACGATACAAAGTTGTTATTTCTGGTCAAATACGGGTTGAAATTTAATTGTTGCCGACGGTGATACTTAAAGTTATTAAATATTTCTGCTCGTATACGGCTATAACCGTGGGACCTAAGCTATGCTTGAAAACAGCTGGACGGCAGTGCGCTCTATTGGTATAATTTAGGAGTACGACCGCGACCCACGCGTGACAAACTACCTATTTCTCCGCGGTCGAGCTACAGCGTATTGAAACGCTACTATGAGAACATATGCATATCGCCGTCTCGTTACAAACCCCTGGGAAAATCAAAAAACTACTTTCTTATTGTGCCAGCCCAGTCGGATATCTATTCAGAAAAAGTGCAATATTTGAAAATCGAAAAAAAATGTCTAGTAGAAAAGTTGTTCACAGAACAAAAAAAAATATAAATAAACATCATCGAAAAGTCAATACATTTCTCGCCCCGCTCAGAATTTAAAATGTGTGATAAGGACACTTATTTTAAAATTAATATTTAGCTATTTTTGAGTTGATGAATTTTCATTTTCATTTTTTTTTTTTTTGGCAAATCGCCCAAATGCAATCCTTTTAAATACGTGTATCCTTTTAATCTCTCCGGTAATTATTTATTGAATAAAAAAATGATTGGCTTGAAAAAAAAAAACATTTATTATTTTAGCAAATCCATCACGTTTATGTGGATAATGTACGGTTTTTTTTTTTTTTTTTGCCAATCGTTTATTTGTTTTTAATCGTAACTTGATATCGTGCACTAATAACAACTCTGCAGCTTTTGTTGCTGAAACACATTATCCTTCTGTCGTTCGTCCCGCAATCGATCGCGTTGGAAACATTTCCGGCGGACAAACGCGGATTTAACGCAGGTATACCGGTGGTTTGGATGTTTCCCGGTCGAATTTCCGGGGCGGATATTAATTGAAAAATAATCCCGTGACCGGGATACAGAATAATATTATAGAATATGACACCCGGCTAACGTTGAATATTATTATTTATATAGAATAGCCTGACAAAAAAATCGTATATTTACATGTACTTACATATTTTATTTAATATAGCGAAGACAACGCGATAAATAATAATATCGTCTTGTTCGCTATAAATGATTTTAAGCTAATAGTATTTTATTATTATAGTTTACCGCCGTCGGTGGGGGAGGGTGTTTATACGACGTTAAATCGTGTTTTAAATAAATATCTGTGACTAAAATTTAATCGCAGATAAAAATAGAAAAAAAATCGTCAAGCTGATTATAATTTATTTGTTTTTTTTTTTTCAGATTATGAGTGAAACGAAGAGACTATTAATTTTATTTATATAGATGCATTTTATTTTTCGTTTTTTGTTTAACCCTTTTACGGCTACCTAAAATACTCCGATATTTTGATATATAAATATTCCTAATATTTTTTAGGCAAATATTCCAATTATTTTTTTTGCACAATTACTCAATTGATGCAAAAATTTTAACCCTGTGATAAGTAATTTATATAAGCATTTATTGAACATTTCAAGTACAACAGTTAACCCTCTATAATTGTTTTCCTTTAGTAAGAATTTAAACGATTTATATTTTATTTATTTATTAATAATGGACGAGGCCTAACAGTACAGATTGGGAACAAAAAAAAATAAACAAATCATATAATTTTGAACAATAATTTTATAAATTTGAATTAGTTACTAGTGATTGCGTTAAGAAAAGTGCTGGTTTGAGAAAGTATTGAATAGACGCATTAAATGGTCGAAAGGATGATTGCGACAGTTCTTCGTAATACGTTTGTGTATTGCATAGGGGGCGAGAGAGCCAGAAAGCACTGGATAACTCGGAAATTAACATGAAAATGAAGGGAGGATGCACCAGATGAGCTATTTATAAGCATAGCAAAGAAACGTAGGTTAGCATCAACACGTCTATTATCTAGCTTAGACAAGCCTAATTCAAGGAGAATAATCGAGAATGGGATGCAGGGTCGGTGTAAACAATTTTAATTTTTTGCATATCGACCTTTTCAATATAACATGCTATACAACAAGGTTTTATTACAAGGCTAAAATTATTTTATTTATTTTACTATAAATGTAAAATATCCATCTACTGAGCAATTTTTTTATAATTTCCAACTAGAAATTAATTTTTTTCACCGGGGGGGGGGGGTGATACACCCCCCTAGAGATAGCCCTAATGGAGTGAGGATTGTTCAAAATAAAACAGGTGAAAGATAAACAGCATCTATGAACACTAAAGTAGTTTTGTCACCGGATTTGTGTATAGAGATGATTGAGATGAGTTTCCAAATTGAGACCAAATTGTACCTAATAGATCACAACAGAAACATATTGTAAGATTCTCGAGTGAAGAACATCGAAGAGTGTATCGGACATGTATCGAGTGCTGGATGATAAGAATCACAGAGAACAGCATAACGGATTAATTTAAAAACAAATTTTATAATTTTTGAAAAAAATTAAATCAAGTAATTCACCAAAGAAATTATGAATGTTGTTTAATTGAACAAAGTTTAAGAAAGCAAATAAATCAGGTATAATGTGATTAGACCGTCTAAAACCTAGTTGTAAGATAGACTGAATACGTCTTTAGATCAACATATGATAGAGAAATTGAAGTTATCACATCAAATAAATAACCCTTAATCCATTAGGTTGTTTAAAGATAATGGATTGAATGTAAGTCATATATGATACATATATCAAGGTTGGGCTATTAGAGGACATATAAATGGAGATAATAATGAAATTAATGTTATTTAAGCAAAAAGTAACAAACAGGTACTCAGCATTGGCAGTGGGTAAAGAAATTAAGAAAGAGCCAATATCATTGCGACGGCAATAAGATTACCGTCACTCCTGAGGAGGTTACTGATAAAAAGGCTCCTATCACATCTAAAAACGAAATAATTTGAAAAGCCTAATTCACAATCACTAATACCATTAATAAGCCAAGTTTCGTATAAACATATAAAAACATATTCAAAGAATGCTACATTGCATTTAAAATTTAAACACATTAAATTTAGTATATAGACGTCTACAATATTTTGAAAGAACTCTAGTGGTAATTGCATATTGAGAGAGACAACTATGTTTATGGAAAGCTCGTGACAACTTTCGGGATACCATTCTCATGAGAGACGACTAAGTCCGATTCACGAGTTCCCTTCATCCGGTCTAGATCAGCATGAGCAGCACGGAATAGTTCACATTCACTCATCATCTCGTCTTGTACGAGAAAGATTTGAAGAAGTAGAAGACTATTGTGTTTTGCACCATGAAAATCATGAACTATGAAGTGCAGAAGACGCAGCATCTTTAGAGATAAATACAATGTTTATCGGCTAATAGGATTTGGGTTTACTAAAACCAAGCCTGAATAACTTGGAATAGTCTAGGAGAAATCGGATAGCGTTTTGCTCAGTAGAAATAATAGCTCGCAAAATTTTAAAGTATAATAAAATTCGTAGTGAATTCAAATGTCTCATTTGTAAAACGTAAACGAAAAAAGGAAAGGTCAGTTGAACTAAGGTGGAGTATCTGATTGTATTCCGCCCTAGCCGATCGATCAGCAGTCGTCTGTGTGATCCACCGTGAACGTACTAGTTAGGTAAGGTCGGACTGTGGCCTATAAATATTAATTGCTTTTTATTTTTTTTTTCTAATGAATTTTAATTTGATAAACTGCGTTTATCTGATAATACACGTTTAGTGTATCTAATACATTAATAAATGGAGTTTTAAAGAAGTAAAAGATGAAATAATACTTTATTATAGCACCCTGTTGGTTAATATTTTTGTTTTATTTTTATCGTTTTTTGGTTTGCCTCCAAAATATGAAAAGCATATGAATAATACTGTTCCCCTCAGAATCGTTTGAATACTCGTGAGTAATATTAACATATCCCCCTCCTCATAAATTCTTCGGATAAATGTAAAGCACGATTATAATTGTTATTAAAATTAAACGTCATGTGTCTTGTGAATTTTTCGACCAAACCACTAAACGAAAAGGTTTGTTTATCGGTGCGCAGTGTCATTATATTATAACATAGTGAAAACGTTTGCCAACTTTGCTACGAGATTCGAAATTAAAAAGCTTTATCGGATTACGGTATTGATATACGAGTACACGATTACGAAAGCTGTGATTTCCAGACGTTTTCGAAACTGCACAATATTAAAACAAAAACTGCTCAAATATTATGAAAAACGACCCTACGCAAATAATTATTATTGTAACGTTTCCAAAATCGTAGGAAACTATACAATGTCGCGAGATGTAAATATTTCTTATTTATATAATTTAATTGTTCTTAAAATAATTTTCGAATAAAGAAATTTGCGTTGCGAAGAACCAAAAATATAAAACACTCAAAACCGCGATTTGTTTTATAGAATAGAATAGAATTTGTAAACACTTGAAGGACTATATTGGTAATTCTTTTTCATTTATAAATGTTAAATTCTCTGTGAAACGAGTAATGGATTATGACTACAATGAGATGTGCTTTTTCTTTTTGTCTGTGAACAACTATTCTAATCTATTAGAACTAGAAATCTTGTTGCGATCGTCAATATCAATAGTGGTTTATGAATTGATATTTTATCAACTCGGTGCATTAAGAAGGTAATTTTTTTAAACTTGTATGTAACCTTTCTTAATAATCGGAAAAAAGTAGAAAACCCAGGAAAATGTACGTAATAATAGTATTACTTTTTATCGATTTTGGTTTTTCTTGTAATTTGGTTAAACATAATCGTATAATCTTATGAGCCTGAAATTCCCACAGAGTACTTATATTAGAAACTACCTACATATTTTTTGTAATTCAGTATTGAGACCTAATGTTTACCGAATATTTACAATAGCACTTTCCAGACGTGGTATGAGTTTCAAAACATTCTGGAAATTATTTAGTTTTATATAAACAATTTTGATCAACAACTCGTTGTTTTTACATTCGGGATTGAAAGATCTTTACGACTATCGGTCTATAATAAAGTATTAAACCTATAATATAATAGTGTAAAATATTGACTACGAAAGTTTACGGGCCCAAAAATTATAATCCCGTGCGTGATCAATACAATTCGCGATGAGTATATAAGGGTATTAAAAAGGGATGAAACGGAAGACTTTTTGAGATTTTTGTCATCGTCGTACGCGATATCTCGAACGGTATAAATTACGCGTGAAATATAATTATATATTCAATGCTTTTGCGGGGATTAAAGTCGAACGATTACGAACATATTATATAGACGGTCTGACGGTGGTTTGTGCGATATTTAATAGTAGTATTACAGTGGATGCTGCAATTGTATACAGGGGTGCCGAGGAGGTCGCGTTTAGAGGGTTTAATGAGATTTAAAAGGGCTTATCCTGACGGTTCGTCATGAATGACGCCTAGTGAACTGAGTCGTTGACGTCATTAGACGTTCTATATTATGTAGTTGATGAACTCGGTTGCACTTATGGTAAAACAAATGCCCGTTTATGATTGCATAGATCACATTGATTTGATGTGGTAGAGGAGCCGTGTAAAAGGGGGTAGCAATGGTGGTATTTATCCGGAGTACATTCTAAAACTAAGGGGCACCCGGTTCAATATAAAACTCGAAATAAAATTAATAATATTAATGTATAAAACAAAATAGACTGAAATTCGTAGTTTGGGTAAATCATGAGACGAGAAAAATCTAAAATAGTAAGAATTAAAATTAAAATAAACGTAGGAGGAAAGAGGTGGATATACCATATATAATATACTTTTCTAATAGAAAATATTTTAGCCGAAGCACTTACTGTAAGCACAGTACTGTAAAATTCCAATAGTATTAACTATTGCATTTCTGTAAAATACACTTCAGTCACCTGTATTGGACAATTTTAAACATAATACTATTAAATACTTCAATTTTGGTAATAGATAATTTATAATTTCATAGCTACAAATGAAGGGTAAAAATATACAAACAAATAAAACACTTAAGTGATTTCTCCAATGCACTAACTAGACAGAATTTTTTAACAGATACCATAACTAAAGTTGATAATTGGAGCAAAATTTCTAATTCAAGTTATTTCCAGACCCAAGTAAAAATAATAATATTAAAAAATAGTAAATATCAAATATTATAATGCATGATTGATAAAGAAAAGCTTTTAGAAATACAAAATATTACAAACGTCAATAATTATTAGTGTTAGATTCAACTACAAACAAATGTTAACCAATACCTATCGGAATTCCCTCTTTGAAATTTTATGTGAAATGTAAATAAGTACATCGTGCCCTGAAGTTTACATATTTTATTAGGGTTCTGTTATATATAAATCAGTTCTTTTTTCTTTAAGATGTAAAATTATCAATTATCAAACCCGTCAGTCCATTGGCGGAAATTAAAAATGTCGACGCAAAATTCTTATAGATGTGAAATTGAAAAGGTAGGACATAAGGGATAATTATAAATTAGATTATAATGTTTATATACGGAAAGTAACTATAAACCAATGCGAATAACAAAAAACAATTCTAAACTAAGTTCAAATAATTATTGTTTGAGATAAATTTATATTAACATTTATATTAAACGCTTATAAAAAAAAATCGGGACCATGGATTTTTATTTATTTGCAAGTAGTTATATGCATGATATTTGTTTGCATCATCTTACAACTTAGTATCTGGACCATCGTGTCAAATTTTCGTGAATTTATCATTACTTAATAATTTGTATACGCACATTAAAAAAAATAAAAAAACGTGAACAATTTACAATTACCCTTGAATAATTGATTGTTGAAGATGGATTTTCGGTCGAAAAATTGTTTACAGTTAGCAAACAGAAACACATCATATTATTGATACGTTAAACAACGCTCAGAACCGTGTAGATAAATAAGGTATTTTATTGATTGCCGGATCAACAATTAAATCTTCGGCGGAATATAACGGTATAATATTTTACGCATTATAATATTATAATGATAAAGATATTGAATTCTTATTGGTATCTGGCACGTAGTCAGCGTTTACTTACAAAAATTCACTTGAATACTCAAGTTTTTTGGGTGTTTACCAAAAATACAAATTCGGTACCTACTCGTTATATTAATAATATATACCGGGTGGCATATACTGCGGAGTTATGAAGACTGTCTTACACGGGGTAACGGCATCGGGCTTTAAGCCAACGTTCGATAATATAATGTTATTATTATGAGTCAGTCACAAATTAATAAGGCCGTTTTTGAAAAAGCGTTTAAAGAGGACGCCACAAGTCCAATAAACTGTTGGTTCACAAGAGTTTCTGTAAGCAATTTCAATGAAATATATTAAATGAAAATGTATAGATTCAAAAATAACCATGTATTAATTATTATGTAATCATAGAATTCGTTTAAAAAAATGTTCACGCAAAAAAGAAAGTACACTCTTAAATGATTTTAGAGAGATGAAACATTTACTATATTGTGTAATTTGTACTAAATCAGACCATTTTGAAGAAAATTGACATTCAACTCGTATTATCTCGAACTTACAAAAAATTATGTCTAATATATTAGATTCTAAGTGTAGTGAATAATGTATTAGTTTTACAAAGTTGTTTATTATTTTTTTTTTATACTGAGTACAATAATTCTACCAGAAATCTTGTTCCGAAGTATCAAATATAGCATCTTTTCTGAAAAGGAATTTCCCTAGTGTGGTACTTTAAGAAATTTATTTTTTAATTTTCCCAATAAATGGGAAAACGTGGTAAAAAGAGGAAAATAGGTACAATACTTAACAAATATTATTAAAGAAAATATACATATAATAATAATAGATATACATTAAGTTACATGTAACAGTGGCTGTACCCGTCCCCATTATTCTAGGACTGCTTTTTTAAATAATAAACTTTATAATACTAATGTATAAAACTTTTAAAATTAAAATTACTTGGTATTTGTATCAGAAAATATTTATTTATTTATTAAATACGTGATGTATCTAATAGATAATTAAAAACTAAATTTTTTTTATAAATTCACTTTAATATAGTTATAGTTAAAATAATAATTATTTTGTTGACATATAATAATGATTAAATATTTAACTAATAATTATTGTTAACAAATAAGTAATTTGTTTTAAATATAATATCAATTATAGCTTGTTAAGTATATTTACACATAATATTATAGTTATTTTTTTTAAGTGTGCAATAATTGGTAGTATTTCGAGTATCATAAAAGTTATGTGTTATAAAATGCATTTTTAATATAACTAATACAAATCATGGGTTATAAAAAGCGTTTTATTT